GTTTTGTAACTGGGAGATGGTAGGTGAATTGGATGACAGAGAAGCAAGTAATTTGTAGGTAGGTGGATCCAATGGCTAATAAGAACACTGCCGGGTCAACTCAAAATCCGGTAGTGATGGTTCCATGCCGTCGTTGGATGGTGCACAAATGAACCAACAGTAAGATATCACTGCCAGGTCGAAAGTTGAGCTGGCAGTGATTCCTCAACTATCACTGTTGGTTAGAACCACCAACGCGGCACTGAAATATCATTGCCGGCCGGTTCATAGCTTCACAGAGTGATATATGTCTCCACTGCCAGTTTAAAAGGATTCCCAATCATTGACTGGATCCTAGACTTACGACCCAGCAGTGAAGCGTAGTCATCGGCGGCTCCAACACAACCGACAATGATGGTCATGCGACAATTGCTTGTTCTGGCAGAGTGTTTGCAAATAACAAGATATGTATAAGTTAATAAGCCTCGCTATCATGAAGTTACAATTTGGTAGCTAGCAAAGTAGCAATTTGGTAGAGCTCTTCCTGCTTCAGATTCCATGTGGAAGCTGATTCTTTGTAAGAAGTGATTCTCTGACTAAAGTTGATTTTGATTCCCTATGATTCTTTTGGATAAACACTGTGCATACAGTGATTCTATGCGTCAAGTGAATCAGGAGCTACATTTTGAAGAATAATTTTAGAATCAACAAAGAATCACTTCTCGGAAAAAAAACTGTTTGACAGAGCTACTCCTGGATTCATCCTGGAAACTGCTCTGAGTACGTGCTCTGCCAAACTAGCCCTAAGCAACGACTGTTTTGAAGAAATTTGCTCTTGGCAAGAGCTGAACAAAAGTCCTAGCTAGGTTAACTCGACACTAAGCTAGAGAAGGGTTGTATACCTCCGGTAGTCAATTTATGCGATATGATGTACGTAATTGATTAAAGTGCAACATATTGTGTGAAACTTGCTTGGCAGCAACGACGAGTAGCTGGATCGGTGGGTCTCTGAAGGAATGCAACATTCTGTCTACGTAAGTCTAATCCGTCATGCATGCCAATTGCCAACGTAATTAGTAGTAGTAAAGAGAGAAAGAGAGCGGTCAATACAGTTGACTGTGTGAGCTACTCCTACGACCTACCAAAACGTTAGCGCTAGCGTTCGAACGCCCACGCTGTATTCCCCCACGCGTGCCGCACTCTACACCACGCTCGCGCCAGCATGCCTCTGTCCGCGTGCCCACGCGGGGCTCGCGCCGCCAGACTATGCGCAGGGACCCCTCACGCCCCTCCCATTTCCCACGTGCATCCCATGTGTAACAATCGATCTACTTTTAAAACGTCCAGATGTAACACTTGCAACATACATCTGAAGACAGATGAAACACTTGAAACATACTTCTAAAACACTTAAAAAAACCCATGAAAAACCCTTGAAAACCATTGCAAAACATACGCAACATTAAGATAAAACACTTGCAACATATGTATGAAAACATATGCAACATCCAGATAAACACACTTGCAACATTCAGATAAACACTTTTGCAACATACGTCTGAAAACACAGATAAAACACTGGGAACAGACATTTGCAATATACATGTACAACCATTGCAACATATGAAACATTCTGATCTACTTTTACGATATCCATCTGAAACACTTGCAACATACCTCTAAAACATCTGAAACACTTGAAATATACCGATCTACTTTTGCAACATCCATCTAAAATACTTGCAACATACATCTAAAACATCTGAAACACTTGAAACATACGCTTGCAACATGCGTTTTCAACCTTTTTCTTCCGTACGACGTAGAGCAGAGCGAGGAACGACCGGTTCCGACCAGCCGGTGGCCGTGGATGATATCAAACTTAAAAAAGTTTATCAACACGAGTCCCATGGCGTCTTTTTTTTATAGGACGATGATCACTCTCCTCATTTGTCACTGCAATAATCCACACGCATATATGTTCGCTTGATTTGCGCCGTACCACCCTTTTTGCTCATTCTTTTTCATCTCATGTTGCCTTGTTTGTCTCTTTTTCATGGAGTACTACTTATTTGTGCACTTCTTTTCCACACGCAGACGATGGATTATTCACTTTCTACTAGTTTCTCTAAAGAGAGGGTGCATGCGAGGCTGATGAGCACTAGTACAGCACTCTCCCCTGTTCTGTGTATCTTCCGGCCGGGCATTAACTGCATATATGCGTGTGGATTATTGCATTGACAAATGAGGAGAGCGAGACGACTCGATGGAAATTCCAATTCAAAGTTCATGTGGACATACAGGACACACATAATGATGAATTGATGAAAGCAAATATACAAAACTGCAGGGTTCATTTAATTTGTTATAGTTTATGTCGTCGTTCCAGGCACTTGCATTGTGTGCGTCATCTGCCCTTCAATCGTGGCGCAGCGTGCGTTCACACGTGAAAGTGATGCACGGGATCGGAGACCTCCAAGGGTACCGCTATACTACTAGCTAGCTTAGCTAGGAACCAGCCCCTCGCCGCGTCCCCTCCTAGGTTAAGGGTGATGAAGGTGATCGACTCCGATGCGGATGATGATCTCGTGCCCAGGCGTAACGCTCATCTAGCGGTTAAAAATAAGTTCAGGCCACCGAAAGCCGGAAGTTCAGGCGAGGAAGGTTATGATGAAGAGGTTAGGCTTTGAAACCACCACAAAGATCCCCGATGAGGCATCATTTGAAGAATTTCAGCAGGCCTTCGCTCTGCCGCTATCGCCCACGAAGGAGGCAATGCATGCGCTCTTACCCGGTAGGCGGCACAGAAAGGGTGCGGCTACGACTCACGCGTAGGTTTAGGGTTGGCCGCCTTAGTCACTAAATTCTACAACTGTATAGTACAATATTAAATATTTAATGGCCTTACTTGTTTACTGTTTCGGTCTTGTAATTTTTTAAAATTTCCTATTTGCTTAATGAAAAACGGGCATAGACCCGATCGAGAAAAAAAGTAGGATGCATGCTCGTTGATGACTGGCTGATGTTATTTGTGGTTTGGCCTCCGATCAGCGGTGACTGCCATACCTTGAATCTGTCGGAGTCTTCCCCATCCTGGCTTCGTCGTCCTGTGTTTTTCCTACCACCCTATGCTATAACTCTTGTAATAAAATAATTGTCCTCTAATAATCTCTTCTTGACACTGAAACCGGCTTTTTTCTCTCTCGATGATGATGATGTAAAAACATTGCCATCATTTAATTTCACGACCGGATTTCTTCAATTTCTTCTGCCAATTTTACATGTTATTAATCCAAGCGTGTCGTCGGGCTCTTGGGATGAAGTCAATGCATATTTCCCATTCCACGGATGGCTGCTCAATGTTGAATTGAGAAATTTTTTGTTTGTTTTTTGGCTGTGTTTGAGTTGAGGATGCTCCATCTTCTAAGAGCAACTCCAGGTGTGTTTGCTATAATTAACTTGCTTAACCAATAAATGTAGCGAGTTAACAAAATAAGTAGCAACCTCAATTTGTTGCCCTCTCCAATAGTTTCCTCTATTAGCTCCCTAAACGATTTTGCATTGAGAACATGAACTATTTCTAACCAACCGAACTGTTTTTATTAGTTCCTTTGTCCTTTCGCATTTTCTCACATAAAATTCTTTATTTTTTTAAAAAAATATTTATGCGTCCATTTTACTTTGATCCCCCGAGAAAAACACCGAATGGGGAGCGGAATGGAGTTCCCCTTGACTGCGAAAACTTACAAGTTGGATAGGATATTTGGTAACTTTTTTATTTTTAAGAAGCTCTTTTACCAAATTGTTGGAGGATATTTTCCCCCTTTTTGCTAAAAAGTCAAAATAGGGAGTTGTTTTACAAAAGTTCTGGAGATGCTCTAATAATAATTTGTGGACTCATCTCTCCATTTCTTTTTCAAACCGACTGATCTCTTTTTTTGAAGAGGGTGAGGCCGGAGATACTGCCATTATCTAAAAAAACAGTAACAGTCTGCAAGGAAAGAAAAAAGCAAGAGAAAATAGCACATCATCACTAGCCAGTTCACGAGAGAACTCCACTAACTGTAGCACGCCCACTAGACAAGCCCACAGCGGTACAATACAGCCCAAACAGGCTCCACGCACCGAACAACTGAGCCCACGTGCTTGGATGTCGAGGCCCAACATCACAACACAACGACTAGCTAGTAGCATTTGCGTTTCGGCCTAAACGGTCACAATCCACATGATTAAAAACATGATTACAATGAAATTCTTCTGGTCCATGTGCCAACTCTAGACATCCTATTGAGCTAAGATTGTCATCTTTTGTCTCCAAAACTGAACTGTTTATTTAGAGAGTGTATACTCCCTTTGTCTCTGCCCTTTTTCATTCGTTCGACTATTCGTCCTTTTTCTATAAATATTTGTGCAATTTTTTTAAACGCAAATATTTGTGCAAAACATACAGGAATGTTTAAAGTACATTTGTTGACAGAGATGAGCAGTGATTTTTAGTTCTGAATCATTAGATTTGAATAGGTTGGCTTGTGATGCCCAGGACATATTATGTTCAAATTTGGCTAGTATTTCAGTAGTAGAGCTAGCGGAATGACCAGGCAAACCTTCTGTCAGGAATTCCATACATACTACTATCATCCCTAAACAAACAAATGGTGCTAGATAAAAGAAACTCCAATGCCATTCCTCACGTCATATTCAATCACGAAACTGTGGCCTCAGTCTACCAGATAAAAGAAACTCCAATGCCAATGCCATTCTTCACATCATATTCAAGCACCAAAATGTGGCTTCAATCTGACAGTAAATAAGTAAGCAACAGGGCAGGAACATCTCTATGGCGACCTGTAGGTTGGGTCCCTGTGGTTCATGCCCGGGACGGCACAGCAGTGTTACAAGCGGCCACCTTCTTCTCATCACAAGAAATGGAAGTACTCGATGCATCTGGACTGACCGATCGGCACCAACGTCCTCTTCCCCGGCAGAGAACCCATGCTGCTGGAGCTGGCCGAAGCGCTTGCTCATAATAATGTGTCAACCTCCATCTTAACCGGACTGTCGTTACTGGTAGGAGACGGAGACGATGCGGCGGTCCACTGAAACCGGCTTGTTGCATAGGCGCTCCACTCAGCTGGCTGTTGGTTGCCTCTGAAAGAATGTGCTACCGCTGACTGTGGCTCATCTCTGAAAGAATAATGCGGGCTGAAGCAGATCGACACTGCTTTACTCGAGGCCGATTGCGCAGCAGTGTCTCTCTTGCTTTCTATGGGATTTGAGATGCTGCTTCTGCAGGTGTGATGGTTGAAGTAAGTGACAGAGAACAATGGTGGATCGCTTGTGTCCTTCTGTTGGACTTGCTTTGTAGCCGGGCACTTCATGTCGTTCTTGTAGGTGCATCTGTAATAGAACCTGAAAACAGGATGACATGTACTGAAATCTCACTTGGAAGGGAAAGAGGTGAATTATTGGCCAAAAATGCTGAGGCCAATCTAAATACTTTTACCGACTGCTTAGTGCTCAATAGGATAACTTACTCCTTACTAACCAAAACAGTCTATACCCACTTTTCATTTCTTGGTTTTGTGATAATAAGTGCCTCCAGGTCTTCCACTAATGATATCAGTCATGTCCTTTCCCCCTCTATTAACACTTAATCTAAACACCTTTGAGACATCTTCTACCTGCACTGCCTTTTAGGAAAATAAACAAAAGTTCTGATCTGTCAACGTGCTCTTAATGGGCTAACAAGAAACCGCATTCCAATCACTCTCCAGGAAAATTAAAAGAAAGGGTAGCAGAGACTGTCAGCATTCACACTAGTAATAGTTGAAAATTGAGTTAGAGAACACAAGGGAGCTAAGCAAATGATGGAACTTTTAGTTGCTAGTGAAGTATAAGATTTGATTATTTGAACAAGTTGCAAATGGCAGGTAATAAAGGTGGCATGTGGATCGTATATTACTATATTTATATGGGAAGTAACACTTTACAAGTTTTATTTGTCTAGTTGAGTTGTCAATAATTAAGAACGATTGCTACTGTAAAGGTTATTTTCCTAGTCCAGTGATCGTTACATAAAACAATTTGTTTCTTTCATCAATCAAGCCATTGTCAAATTTTGCAGTTCTTTATTTGCCACCAATGTCTCAATGGCATATGGGGACCACCTATGCCACTAACAGTGGCAGATAGAGGATTATGCAAAACAGTAATGACAAGAAAAGGATTTCTTGTCGTCTTAGAAGTGACTAGTAGACAAACACACAATTTGATATATCCTCCATCAGAGGTAAACAAAAACAGTGGAATGGTCAAGATTTGTGCCTACAAAACCACCATAACACGCTTCATTTAAGAAGAAAATTACAGCGTTAGAGATAGGAAAAACATGTATAGTTCATGTTTACTTATTATACTACTGGAAGCCATTATAGAACAAATTAAAGGTATTAAAAACTAGGAATTCTTCCAGTAAAACAAGGCATGCAAAGCTTGTTCCTGAATTAATTCCAAAGATTAGAGGTAACCCCCCTCAGTATGCAGTTCACCCAGTAACAGGTCCTACAAACTCATTACATTCAATATTACATTACAGATATAGTAATAACTAAATTGACGATTCGTAGTAGTAAAGAGAGGTTTTTGCACACAAAGGGGATGCATGCATGGACTGAAACAACAAACTTATTTGGAGAATAAAACTCTATTGGCAAGGGGATGAAGAACCCAAGAGGGACTAAAAACCTTGGGAAGTTGGAGTTGGAGAGCTTCTTCTCGCCGTACTTCCTCCACTGGTGCCCATCGTCGTAGGGTGCATATGTGTCTGAGGTTCAGACGCATTCATCTTTCCTGGTGAGTTTTTTTTTACAGAACAGAAATTGAAGAGAAGGCATCAGAATGAAACAGATGAAGCCGAACAAATTTCGCAGCAGAATTTAGGAACGAACCTACGATGAAGCGTACCTGATTCTTTGCTGCTGGGCTCTGGCAGCCTGGTGGGATCCCAAATCACTGAGATAGGTAGGAACAGACTCAAGAGCCATGGCGAGGATGATGGAGGAGGGAGGAGAGCAGGAGGCGTTTCTTGGCAGAACGGAGCTAGGCAGCTAGTGCCTGGGACTTGGAAGAGCTGACCACCTTTATTTATAGCATTAAACAACGACGGTGTAGGAGCATTCTTCAACGTTAGCACGTGTCACAGCCTATGTCTGGCTGGAATTCCACTTAGCGGCACTACAGTGCTTTTTTTTAATTATTTTGTCATCCTCTCCTTCATTTTGTTCTCAGTGGCAAGAAAAAAGCCACGTCCTGTTTATTGGATTATTGCAACCAATAAAGTTTACAAGCACTAATATCCACTAATATCAAAAGCTGTTCGCTTGAGCTTATTCAGAACTACTTTTCAGCCATGGAACAGTGTTTTCCTCTCACAACATTTCAGCATAAGCCAAATTTCAGCATCAGCGAACAGGGAGTATCCAAGAGCATATGTCACACTTTGTTTCGTCGTCGATGCAAAGCAATATTGGATAGAAAAAACTGAAGACTAATCAGGCTGAGAGAAACAAAGTTGCGCAAGCACATTGAGAAAATATCATGAGAAATGTCCTATAAGAAATAAGAGTTTCTACATATTCCCTTTTTTTTATCTCTAGATGTCAGTCAAATAGTTTCAGGAATAATATTAGTATCTGTAAGCACGCAGTAGCGGAGAAGAGCCCGCCACATCTAACTAACTAAATGCCATTATCAACACAAACCCATGTGCAGGAGGACAGCTAGCTCAAAGCCCTGACTCTGCATTTCTTTACATTTCTCAAGACTCTCATCTTGGTCTTATATTACTTGTTAAATGAAAAGGAGGCACAACTTTATAACAAAATCTTGGGTTTGGTGGGTCGATCCCCACCGGCACAGGCTAGCATAGGGAGGAAATAAAGAACTTATAATAGTACATCCCTTTGAACAAATTTTCACCAACTAGTCATTTTTCAATGCAGTCCCAAGAGGCAAGAGAGAAGCATAGATAATTAACCCTGTCAGCATCTCCTGATTAAGTAGTATTAGTTATCATGCTAAATTGCTAATGACCTTATGGACAGAAAACAAATGCTCTAGGATATGTTGAAAATGACATGCTTTACATATTTCTTTCCAACTTTGAATAATGATAAATCACTTGGCTAGTTGCGAGGTGCTTCTATGCTCTTTCAAAACTTAAATACACAAATCCTAAAGCAACTACACTGCTAGCAGAGCAGTGAGCGATATTCACTTTTCAGTAGGGCTTTCCTTTTAGTGTAACTTGTAATTAGTTTATAATTATCACCTGTTGATGGGTTTCCCTTTTTATTATAATTACCTATAATGAGTTTATTATTGTCACTTCCTTTTTGTGCGCGAATAACTCTGCTTGAACATGACATTGGAAACAAAACTATTGATATACTAATGTGCGAACTCCTGCTTAGTGTGCCTATGCTTTTTAGGTAATTAAAAAAATGATATCTTATGAAACATGAAAATTTTCTCTATTTTTTATTATTTCATCATCTAGCAGTTTAACTTCATGCACTACATGTGATATTACGTTGTCGATCAGCACAGATTAATATAAATATAAACACTTTGTACTTTCATAATATTTCTTCTATTAGTTAATACATTTTAACCAGTAGGGGGCTACCCTTTCCTCGAAAAAAAAATTACACGATGCTAATATTGTAGTCGTTGAGATAGTGGCTATAGAAGTAGCCGCATCATCTCGCGGATTATTTTTTGCCGAATCAACCGACCAAGTGGACTTTCTGGTCACCAGGTTCAAACTGTCAAGCCTAGTTTATTTGCTACAAACACATCCAATATATAATACACAGAGAAACAGCTCACCCAACTACACTTTATTTCCTTTCTTCTCATATGCTATAAAGAAGAGGGTCTCTTGTATTAATACCAAACCGTTGTAAAAATTTATATATGTAATGCAGTAGTACATACCTAGTCTCAATCAAGACTGAGGGGAGGTACAAATGGGCGAATTCTGAACCCCGAATACTTCCTTCTTCAGAAAACGAAAAATACGGCCTGTTCAAAAGATTGGACGACACTCCCTTAAAAAAATGAATGTTCCCCGAATATGCATGGTTTCATTTTTTTTTCGAAAACCTAGCAGGAACTCTGCCTCTCAATTAAGGAAGTAAAGAGGTTTTATGTACAGGAAAGTCCGAAGTCCGCTAGCCCCACCGGACACGCACAGAAAATAAGGAAACACCCAGCTCCTACCCCACTTGGGGGGTTACACAGTGGAGGCTAAGTCGGGAATATGCATGGTTTCATCAGAAGTGGCATATATTTGGAAACTGGGAGAACAGAGAACTCTTGGAATATAATTCTCTACTCTACACTAAACCTTCAGAAGTTGTTAAATTACCCTTTGCATCTAAATTGCGGCGACCGACTGTTTACATAAGTAATGTTCAGGAATGGGTAATCCATGAAGGTTGAATGGCAAAACTGGCCTTTATAGCTGACTGTTTTTTTCTCGAAAACGCAAGAGAGCTGCGCATCATTGTATTAAAAGATAGAACAGTCCGAATACAAAGCCAGTTCCATGGCTCGGGTTAGTTTTTTGTTAAATTCGCGCCCTTTGCAAAGACTGAACAGCCTAACCTGAGACTACTGATGTGTTAGCTGCCCCAAAGCAAAGCACCAGCCCTCAACCAAACATGACCCTGGTCTACAACCTCCTGGCTGCTAGAAGGGTCATAAACAAAGGGAGGGATGCTCTGGAAGGACTGAGCATCCCTTGATTGGATAATTAGAGATTAATGGGGGACATAAAACAAAGACGATCAACAACCTAGTTGATCCAGTATATCTGCAAATTGATGCTGGTACAACGTGCTCCCATGTGCAATGTTGCACTGTTTGCGAAGAATCTCGCTGCTTATGTAAACGATTTTCTGTAATATATACTTGGGGCGGTGGGATGGTTCCTGGAAGCTAAGATCAATGGAGAGTAGCCTGGGACTGAAATTGAACAGTGCTATCTTTTGACAGCTGATTGATCTGCGTAGCTAATCTTTCTTTTCTGATATTTTTGACAGCACGTTAAAGCTAAAATAACAAAAAATAAAGCCAAGGAATATATTATACCATTCCTCCCCCCTGGTAGTCTGGTACCATATATTAGCGCCGGAAACATCACAATTGGATGTCATGTAATGTAATACCGCAGGTTCTAATTCTAACTGCGCACACTGAATTTAACCCTTCTTTCTTAGCAAACAGTATCTTGCACCTGACTCCGCGTAAGGAAAAAGAATTTGTGCTCAAAGGCGGTGAACGCCGCTCTCGAATAATATTACTTTGATTGATAATATATACCACCACCCCCATGTGTAGGAAGGAGTCAAGTAGTGTTTGATGGGAAGACAATTTCGCTGTCATCAGATCAGATGTTGAATTCGTTGATGATTCCTAGTTAATTAGTTTATACAAGGAGCAGCAGCATGTAGAGAAGCAGCTTAATTATAATTAGGTACTAGTAATAATCTAATGTACCCTGCAGGCTGCTGCAGCAGCAATATTATATTTGTAGACTTGTGGCAGCAATAGTGTAGTGCTGGAATGACTTGGGTGTTGTCGGTGAGAAAAAGAGAGATGGATGGGGATGGATTGTTAGCATCAAATCAAACGAGATAAGTTTAAGCGAAGATCAAGAAACGTGCTAATTCGAATGAAACGGTTTTGGGTAGATGTACAGGCCACCGTACTAGATTAGGACTCAACAACATGAACACCTGCAACTAGAGATGAGTGGCACTTTTATATAATGAAAGCTTGCGTCTGTGATGAAAAAGAATAATCGATAGATGGAAACTAGCAGAAACAAAGCACATGCGTGCATATGGAAAATCTAGAAAGTTGCCAAATTATGCAGTAAAAACAAGTCCAAATTACCGGTTGCCGGCTGCAGGCATCTCGAAAGCCATCCGTCGGATCAAAAGGGGGAAAGCAAGAAGGCGTTCGCGCGCGCGCGCGCACACGCAATACGCCATCGGGCCCCGCTCACGTCGGCAGCCGGAGTTGGTCGGCCATTACGGCCTACGGGGGAGACCGACCAGTGGCTGGCGGCTGGCCGGAGTTGGGGAAGGAGGCGGGATAGGAGATGCAGTTGCAGTCCTCGGCTAGGGCCGCCTCCGGATGGGCATCAACCATTTGTTGGGCTTGGGCCTCACTTGGGCTGCTGGACGAAATCGGCACTCATGGGCTGGAATAAGGCTTGGCTGTGATGAACCAGCGACGATGCGCATGAGGCCTGCGCCCTGCCTGATTAGTTTTCCAGGCCAGTCCCAACCAGGGATGACGCCCACATCAAAAAAAAAAAATCATCTTACATGACACAATATTTTTTTTCTTTATCTACCATATATATGGGATGACATGCAAATTCAGGTTTTATGATTTTTTTTACATCTTAATCAACAGAAACTATGATACACAGGCGCATGGAATGGTACACTATGACTGCCCACTGTTATTCTCGCTTGCGCCCGCGGCAACGCGTGGGGTACCGACTAGTTCAACTGATATTTACAAAGGGCAAAATCTGGCGAGAACAAGCCTAAAAGGGGACCCCACTCTCATGCTTTGTTGTTGTTGGCCTCAAGTGCCTGGAATACGTCCGAGCGAGTCACAATTCCTGTTAACATCATGAAAGGTAAAGGTTATCATGTGGGCATCATTTGCAGAATCACAGTAAGAAACTAGTACGTACTTAGTTTATGTACCGAGAATGTGTCCTCATAAAATTCGCAGGGAGTCAAGCCAGGGGTGTCAGGAGCAGGGTGGGTAATTTCTACTAGGTATATTTTCAGCAAAAAAAAATAAAATAAAAAATAAAATCTGGATAAACAGGTTCCTGAATCCAGATCAACTATGTTTAGCTTCCACCTAAGTTAACTAGACCACTGGCATTGTATTGCATCTTGATTGCTTTAGTGAAACCTTATTGTCACAGACTCACAGCTTGCAGTTAATTTGTCAAGGGCGTGTTTTAAAAAGTTTACCAAGTCCAAACCCTAAACAGGGCTCTTAATAACAACGTAAAACAGTATTATTCAAGGCAGCTAAGTAAACCTGCACTGCTGAAAAGTTTCGTTGCTCCATTTAGATATAGACTTTATTGATGTACTCCTAGTACAAAAAAAAGCAAGCAATCTGGAAATAAAACCTTACCGATCACTTGCTGCTGTTCATTCACAACCGGTATCCTGTGAACCTTCTCCTTAAGCATTAGTGCTGCAGCCTCTGCTCCCATATCCAGCAGAAACCTGTTAGCAAGTTGTTGTAACGACTTCAAGTGTTATTAGGGTAGAGGGGAGTAAAGGTTTACCCAAGACCGTCTTCTGGGGCGTCAGGGTTATCGCAGGAGATGACATCACTTCACCTACAGTTGACTCCATCTGCATCTTGACAGCAAGCTTGAAAAATTAGTTGATAGTTTGCAAACCAAAGATATCGGAAATGGACGCATCTTCTTTAACATGCTCTGAGCACATGTTTCATTAAAAAAATATTTATTTATCCCACTAGGAAATGTTTCTCAACCACTAGGCCCATACACGGCCTGGGGCTGAGCTGTTTATAAATGTAACTATAGATACCGGCCAAAGAACTGAGTGCGCTAAACCCCACAAAAAAAAAATTATTCCAAATGGGAGAGCTCTTGTGTCTTATGCATGATCATCAACAAAACTATAGATTCTTTAGGTGAAAGTTACAATATGTGATGAACGAAACAGCCAGTACCAAGCCTCTCTTCAGTCCAAAATGCATCAAACAAACTAAGAATAAAATTCAATTGGATTCTGAGCATCTGACTGCAAACGGGCTAACATCTAAATTACCTTTACATTTATGCTTTTTAGAAAATACTTTAAATGTTTCAGGACTGAGCAACTTTTGAAGAAGGTAAGCTAATTTGTAAAGTATATCACTAAAACCACTGACCGAATCATTGCAAAGTCTCTTGTTGAAGGAACAATCATAATATACCCATTTAAGTTAATCCTACTAGAGACCAGAAATTTTCACTAAGCTCTAATTTTTAGGATTGGACCACTTGTTTATCTTTTCTGTATATTGCTCACTTTAGCATGTCTGACACAGCAAGCATCAGACATGCTACAACCCTTGGTCTTGAATTTGATCATATCCCCAAGGATTCCTTTCTGGTTCAGCCCAGATTCTCTCAACAGGTGACACAGATAACTGAGTAGGGTTGTTTTTTATAACAAACAGAGTGGAAACTAAATCAGGGGTTCAGATCCTAACAGTAGTGCTGTATTTCAGCAGTCATGCTTACATACTATACTACTCCCTCTGTTTTAAATTGTAAGCCCGTTCTAGCATTTCTAAGATATATTTAGGTTTGTTACGCACTTAGATATACATTATTATGTCTAGATACATGAACGACTTCAATTTAAAATGGAGGAAGTACAACTAAGAGTAGCATACTGTACATGTTAAAAACGAAATTCTAATTATTTTAACTAAATGAATGTCGAGCAAGGGAACGACAGCAAGCGATCGAGATGAACATGTGGCCAAACTAAACTGAAAAGAGCCAATTGAGGATATGCTTAAAGAACACACTGAAAGGGTGAAAAACATTTTCATTTACAAAATTGATCCACAGTGTGCTAAATGCGGGTCATGCAGTTTCCTGGGTTTAAAAAAAACATTGCGGTCCTCCAATTAGTGATTGGTATGGTTCTCCATCCCCATTTTTAATGATTTGATAACTCATCTGTAGGAACATCCCAATTAAGCACTTAACAGGCATAACAAAGTGACAGGCAACAAGGAGGAGGAGCAGTTAGTGAACCGACCCCATTAGGCGCCTTGGTCTTGTCCTTCTTGGAGATCACACCAACGCACCTGCCATCCTCGTCGACCACGGGCAGGCCCGAGTACTGCTGCGCGGCGAAGAAGGCATCGACCTCCGCGAGCCGCTGCCCCGGCGTGGCCACCTGCACGGGGCGCGACATCACGTCCTCGAGCTTTGCCGCCGGGCTCATCTGCCAGCCAAGAACAACCAATTCATATCGAATCGGAGAGAGAGGGAGGGAAAAGGGGAGAGGAGTCGGCGGGTGTGGAGTGGACGGACGTACCTGGTCGGAGGAGGCGATCTGGGACTCCAGGTAGGCTCGGAGGTCGGCGTAGCTGAGGAGGGAGAAGTTGCCAGGCCACTCCCCGGACAGGATGCCCTCGGGGTACTCGTCGATGGCCGGGCGCAGGTCATCGAACGCGGCGGACGCCACCAGCGCCGCGCCACGGCCACGCCCGCCCAGGGCTCGCAGGGCGGCCGGCACCGGCGCGCGTCGCGCCACTACTGCCACGGCGGACGGCGGCTGGACCGAGATGGGGAGGACCGCGGCCTTGACGGCGGCGGAGGCGGGGGCGGAAGGCGCGGACGCCATGGGTGGTGGGGACGAGCGCAGAGCGCGGAAGGTGACCGCTGACCGGACGTCCGGACCTGCTGCCGTCTACCGCTGGAGCGTCGTCTGTTGCGTGCACGCTTGCTGCGTCGGACGCTGCTCTGCCTCTGCTCGTGCTTTGCTGCGGCCTGCCGTACGCCGGTGCCGGTGCGGTGTCAAGTAGGGAGTGGAGGTGGAGTGGAGTGGAGAGTGCGGTGGAAATTTCTAGAAGGGCGCGGGGCCCACTCGCAGGAGGCCACGCGGCTCTCTCTCGGCTCAGGTGTGTGCGGGTCTTTGTCGTCTTGCGCGGTCTGGTGACCAGTAGAGTGACTTATGGTGATGTTGCTTATTCTTTGGCTTTTCTCATTTATTAATATGAAAAATAATCAAATTATATCATCTTAATCGTTTTTTTCTAATTACATATTGTTTTAGCTTTTCTAAACACATATGGTCTGATCGGCTGCGCTAAAGAAGCGGTTGCTGCAGCCATACATTGTTGGTGCTAGGCTTGCAGACACTACTTTAGCTAAAGCGAATGAAGCCATATTATTTACTATTATTTAGATATAGTGTATATTTAATGTATAATACAAAGGCAAAATGACATATTTGGAGATGGAAGCGGTAAAATTTGGTTAGAAACTTTTACAAACACCTAAATCCATAGAAGTGTAAGTTAAACCTCATGTTGCTATATGTCGAGTGAAGGATATATGAACATTAAACTGAAGGAGGCTTTATCTTCAACCTCCGGTCTCCAACCCCTCTTTCTCTTTTATAATTATATGCATAAAAAATAGGGCAGCGGCTGAAGGAGAGCTTATGGGGCTTGCAGCGTGTAGGAGAGAACAAACATTAGATTGCAGTTTAGAACAAAAAATTGCCAAATTAAGAAATATTGTATCTTCTGCTTAAATAAACATCCAAATAGGAACAGCTCATTCATGGAAGTGCTCATACCAGTAACCATGACAAATTTAACTTTTCATCTTGTGCGGTTGGTGACTAGTGTTAGTTTTGTCTCGCGTGGTGATGGCACTTCTCCTTCCGCTGGACGTTTATATTCTTTGGTTTTTCTCAAGATTAACGCCAAACTCTACCATATTTTGAAACACAACATTTGGACAGAGATTCCTTATAAAATATCTAAACCCAAACATGAGTTGGTTAAACCTCATGTCTTGTGGTAAAAAAAAATAAATATGCTCCTTCTCATCTGCTTTATAGAATCAATAACCATGTTTTAAGAATTTAGGGACTAAGATATCATTGTTTGAGTTAGGACAATAGTTCAATGAGGTAGCATGAACTTTTTTTCCAGGGGTGTGTGGCAATAGTTTTTTTTTTTTTGAACTTTCAAAGCTTTTCATTACTCATCAGTCTCAGCTGAATCGTTGGACACCAACTCCTCAGCACCCTGAGGTACATCATCCCAAGTGATTTTAGTCCCACTAGGACTTGTGCAAACCAATAGAGGCAATGGCATACACTACCTTATTATAAACTCGAAAGCAAACACTAATAATACAAGGAAAAAAAAATCTAAAGACATGCATCAAATGCTTGATTTCAGTTATCACTCCTCCCATCTCTGACAGGCAGTATTCATCCCCCTCCACTACTGACTTCACCAACACAGTGTCCGTTTGTATGGAAATCCGAGAGATCCCAAAGTTCACAGCCTCCTTAAGTCCTGCCAAGAACCCCGTCAATTCTGAATGAGAGGTAGAATGGATTTTGTTCGGAGGGGTTGTGTTGCCTCTTCGAGCCCGACACAGATTAGCCTGATCTGCTGGGTAGCTAAGCCCATTAACTGGTCGCAGCTCGTTTTTACTATTATTAAACGCGCGTTGCAACGGGATTGGTGAGAGGGTAATGGGAAAAAAGAATAAGGCCTTTACTATGCTGATCTTGAATGGCGGATTGAGATTTGAAGAGAGGTGCACTTAAAATCTTTTACAATCTTTTAAAATCACAGTAGAAATATAATGTTTTGTTATACAAGGTAACCTCATGCTATCTACGCTAATAGTTTCTTAACCTTACTTCCAAAATAAATCAACGAGGTTCACCAGAATTGGATCTCTAAAACCACTATTTTTATGTATGAGAATATTGAACAGACAACGAAGATTCTATTTTGAAGGTTTCAGATGACATGAATGGCCAGCCAAGACATGCCATTTTCTTCTTCACCCCTACCACCACTGTCACTGTCTGGTTGTTTATTGGAATTGAATGGCAAGCCACTATTTTCAGATGTCAAAATACTAGACGTATTGAGTAGACAAATTAAAGTAGGCAATAGAGATTTCTTTTTGGAAGTGCGAGGTGCCTGGATAGCTGGCCACGATAGCAAGGTATTTCGTCCATATTGGACGGCTCGCCGTCCAAATTGTTACAAAATAAGGTATTTTTATGGTCAATTTAATTCAGAAATAAAATATCAGCAAGTTCATGAAAACATATATATGTATGTGTATATCACTAATAAAAGCTACAGCATGCAAATATGACATACCGATCGATACAGTAAGTATGTAAAGTACGGTAATAAGAGAGTTTAGATTGTACCAAGCGGAGGATCCTATGCCGAGGGCATCGGAGGCTCCATTCGCACCAGACATAGTGCGTTGCTCGAAGTCGTGGACCACAGTCGATGCAGGAAGGTGTTCGCAGTGCAGTCCCATGAACAGTCACTGAGAAGAAGACACCTTGCTGTTCCGTGAGCGATCACCAGGAAGAAGACGTCTTGGACGAGCAGTCGCGGAATCACTCCCCAAAAACCTAATCGCCGCACACCCCGTGCAAGGTTCGCAGGCGGACGAGGGTTCCGGAGGCACCTGCTCTCTCGTTGCTCCGTGCACGCAGAGGTATGGGATGGAGATGCGAAAGTAGCAGCGGGCAGCAGCAGAAAGGGAGAGTGAGTGGTTTTTCAGCACGCGTTAATCAGAGTACGAGCACCTTTTTTATAGAAGCAAGAGAAAGGAGATTCAACGAACTTGGACACTGTCACATGTGATTGATAGCCATTAACCAGCCATCAGTTACCAGTAACCTCCAGGCGTTACTAGTCATTGCCTCATTGGTGTCGGCCTTTTAAAACACGTCAGTTGCTAGTCACTAAACACAGTGTCAGTTACTAGTCATCAACTCTTCTAAACCACTTCAGTTGCTAGTCACTAAACATAGTGTCAGTTACTAGTCATCAACTTGTGATTAAAAACTGCAAAACCAGACCAAACCCAGCTCACACATCACGTCGCCGCGCCGCGCCGCGCCTCGGCACGGCTCGGCGAGCGAGCGTGCGTGCACGCGTGTGGCACCCTCTCTCTCTTCCTCAACTTCTCAATTAGTGCACAGATAGTCCATCAATTTAAGTTGGTTAAGATACTCTTTAACTAACCATTTGGGATTAACCACTTTAACCACCTAGCATTAATCATGGGCCTTGAGATTAAATGAAATAAATGGGCCTAGCCCAAATATTTCAACAATCCCCACCAAATTTTGAGGCACACTAGAAATGCTCTCATTTCCACTGCTGCTTTTATATACCAGTTTTCGATGGAGACTGTTAAGTTGAACATTCACCTAGAGAAGAGGCTACACTTATTCACAACTGATCAATGGACGATGCCTTGAATTGACAGTCTTGTGCAAACAAGCTTTACCAAAACTCTTTTCTGGTACTAGGCTGCTTAAAAGCATCCCCGCGGTTTGGAGCGTATAAGTCATACTCCAGGCCTTTCATGAGTATTTAGAGATTACCCAAATCTCATAGACTGTGACCAGCAGTCTGACTCATATAGGTGCGTTCCTTAAAAGATGTTATGTAGAACAACATCTTTGCTTTAGCAAGCCACTTGGAACACATTAAGGTAAAAACCAACATTCCTTACAGAAAGGAAAGATATGCATCAGAAATGAGTCTTACTAAGGATCTTTTCTCATAATTTACTACTAGCTTTTTCACTATCCTACTTCATGGGATCTCCGATCACATAGAATAGGTTACCACTATAGTAAATTTCATGTGGGTCTCAAACCCATCTCTCTCGATGCACTTTCTATCACATTGCGTGACAGACCCTTAGTGAATTGATCTGCCAGATTGTTAGACGTGTGAACATAGTCCAACGCTATTACTCTGGAGTTTCTTAATTTTTTGACAGATTTTAGTCGTCTCTTAACATGCCTTGTAGACTTCATGTTATTCTTAGAACTGTTAACCTTCGTAATCACAGTCTGGTCATCGCAGTTCATAGAAATAGCTGATATGGGTTTTTCAACAACCGGTAAATTCATAAGGAGATCACAAAGCCACTCGGCCTGTGAGTTCTACTTCCATTGTAGACTTCGTTAAGATAGTCTGCTTACAAGACTTCTAGGAAACAGCACCACCTTCAAGTGAAAATACATATCCACTCGTGGCATAAAGCTCATCAGCATCAGAGATCCAGTTGGCATCACAATAGCCTTCCAGCACCTTCGGGTGTCCGATATAACGAATACCATAGCTCATAGTGCCTTTTAGATAGCGCATCACTCTCTCAAGAGCACGCCAGTGATCATTTCCCGGGTTTAACACAAACCGGCTCAGATTGCACACATCAAATGAGATGCCAGGCCTTGTTGCACAAGCAAGATACATGAGCGAACCAATGATCTGGGAATATATCAACTGATCCCTTGCTATTCTCCGATTTTTCCTCAATAGCACACTCGGGTCATAAAGTGTAGGAGCAGGTTCACAGTCACTAAACCTAAAATGACTCAGCACCTTTTCCACATAGTGGGATTATAACAGAGTTACCCCACCATCACCTTCTCTTAGAAGCTTGATATTAAGAATAACATCAGCATCTCCCAAAAAATTTATTTCAAAATTATTAGATAAGAATTCCTTCACCTCCTCAATCATTTTGAGGTTGGATCCAAAGATCAGTATGTCATCAACATATAAGCATAAAATAACTCCTTCACCCACACCATACCGA